ATTGGGCTTAGGGTTTCGCCCCCCCCCCTAAACCCTAACCCCTAACCCCTAACCCCTAACCCCTAAACCCCTAAACCCCTAAACCCCTAAACCCTAAACCCTAAACCCTAAACCCTAAACCCTAAACCCTAAACCCTAAACCCTAAACCCTAAACCCTAAACACCACCCTAAATTTGCACAAAGAATGAGCAAGGCGGTTGGGCCGGTCAGCCGTATAGTGCCTCAAACCTTCAGCTGCTGTTCCGAGATGTTTAGGGGCAAAATCTCCGGATCCTACGTCCTAAAGTATATCTACGCCTAGGGCCTATTCAAAATACAGCCCAGGCACTTGACGGCCCTGGTCCCCTAAGCCCCATTATCCTGGAAGCCCTGTAAATGCCATAAACCCCACCTAAACCCCAAGAAACCCGAAACCCTAAACCCTAAACCCTAAGCCGAAAAAATACCCTGAACCCCAGTCCCTCAACCCAAACTCTCACCGGGTTTCGCCAAAAGTGCTGCCTGCATTTTTCCTGCCGGCGACGGAAAACGTCTCAGACCCTGGACTGGGTGTCGGGGTTCTTGGGTTTAGGGTTTAGGGTAAAGGGTTTAGGGTTTAGGGTTTAGGGTTTAGGGTGCAGGTTCGGGGTCGAGCCTGGACCACAGAACGCACGGTTCGTGCTTTAAAGGTTGAGGGTTTAAGAAAAGGGGTCGGAATAACTACTAATAGTTTTCCCTTACGGTCCCTTTATCTTGTTCTGATCAAAAAGGCCCCCATAGCACGGTTTTCGGTGTTCTTGGTTTGGGATGCTGGGTCGTCTTGGGGCAGCCCTTGAGGAGTCCCTAAACCCCAATTAAACCCTTCTCAGGTGTCCACAATTAGGGCCCTTCAGGGATGCTTGGGGGCCGGGCTTAGGGTTTAGGGCTTAGAGTTTAGGGTTTAGGGCTTAGGGCTTAGGGTTTAGGGGTTAGGGCTCAGGGTTTAGGGGTTCGGGGTTCGGGTTTAGGGTTAAGGTTTGGGAGGTTCCCGGACGCAGGGACTGCCCGGCGTCTGCAAGTTGAGTTTCGCGTTCAGGGTTCCTAGGGCTCACAGGGTTCATACATGTAGGGGCCCCCTAGTTAGAAACAGGGTTGCAAGGGCCCTTACTTGGGTCATAAGTCTTAGTATTTAGGTGACAATTCCCAGAACTAAAGTTAGTATAGTAAGGGGCCCCTACTTGTAGGGTTTGTGGGTTCATAAGGTTTATGTAGGGCTCATAAGGGTATAGGGTGCATAGGGCTCACAGGGCTCCTATGCAGAGTTCATGGTTCTTATAGGTTGTTTTTGGGTTTAGGGCCTAGGGTTCAGGGTTTCGGGTTAGGGTTTATACATGGTACGGCACCTTATGCGAAGCTCCCCTGCCCCCCACCCCCTGCCCCCCACCCCCTGCCCTTTTTTTTAGTTTGTCCCCCCCCCTCCGCCCCCCCCCCCCCCCCCCTTGCCCCTGCCCCCCCCCCCCCCTTGCCCCTGCCCCCCCCCCCCCCCTTGCCCCTGCCCCCCCCCCCCCCCCCCGCCCCCACCCCCGCCCCGCCCCACGCCCCGAATCTTGTGTAGACAGCAACCCGCACAAAAACCGACGTCCCCCTCCCTCCACCCACGAAACAAAATGTTTCGGCTTTCAGGGTAGGGCTCATGGGTGGCAATGAGAAGGGTTGGAAGTAATACTAAAGTCAGAATCGAGGTTGCCATATCTCAGCTTATTGAAACCCCTCATGGGTTTAGGGTTTAGGGTTTAGGGTTTAGGGAACCAACTTGAAATGGTTCGGGATCACTGCCCTGTCTGGCGCAGGTGCCCCGCCAAGACTGGCGCGTGAAGTGAGGGCGTGTATGTTAGGGTTTAGGGTTTAGGGTATAGGGTATTTAGGGTTTAGGGTATTTAGGATTTTTAGGGTTTAGGGTAAGGGTTTAGGGTTTAGGGACAGAGGTTTAGGCACAGGGTTCGCTGTTGCCAGGTTTTAAGTCCATAAGCCCTGAACCCTACCCCCCCCCCCCCCCCAAGTACCCAGTCTAGGACCCGGAGCAGGCACATGTTCCCTTTCTGGGGCTTAGGTGCTCTTAGAAGCCCCTTTGGACCAAAAAGGGCGGCACCCCTTCTTATTCCTACTGAGAATATGTTACTCTTGGGGGTCACCCGAAACCCTAAACCCTATAAGTAAGGCCCGAAAAGTCTAGGCAAAACCGCGAAGGGGTTTCAGACCCTGGGTTAAGTGGATTTGGGGTTTAGGGTTTTGGGTTTAGGTTTGGGGTTTGGGGTTTGGGGTTTAGGGTTTAGGGTTTAGGGTTTAGGGTTTAGGGTTTAGGGTTTAGGGTTTGCGGTTTAGGGGCTCAGGCGCACGCTCGCATTTGCTTGCCGACCAAAATGACAGCTTGTGCAGCCAAACCCTAGGCTCTAAATAACCCTAAACCCAAACTCGGTACCCAACACCCTAAGCCCTTGAGGGTTTAGGGTTTAGGGTTTAGGGTTTAGGGTTTAGGGTTGCCGGATTGGCACCCTGGAAGGTTGAATCTCCCATCTGAAGCTCCAGCCCCAAACACCCTGAGGCCCTCGAAATACCCTAAACCCTAAACCCTAAACCCTAAACCCTAAACCCTAAACCCTAGACCCTAGACCCTAGACCCTAAACCCTAAACCCTAAACAAGTCAAGCTTGTTGAGGTGCCACATAACCCTAAACCCTGGGGGGGGGGGGGTTCTTAGGTCCTCCAGGTTGTGTAAGGGGTGGGGTATCCTGGAACCATGGGTTCGGAGTTACGGTTTAGGGTTGGGGTTTAGGGCGTGGGGTTTAGGGTTTAGGGTCTAGGGTTTAGGGTTTATAGGGTTTAGGGTTTAGGGTTTATGGTTTAGGGTTTAGGGTTTAGGGTTTAGGGTTTAGGGTTTAGGGGTCGATCCCCGCATGCAAAAAAGCAACACAAGGGGTCCCTGATCCAGAGCAACCGATCAGGGAGCCCCTCGTGTTCTTACGAGTCCTGAACCAAAGAATCAAAGGATCAGGGCTTGCATGCGAGGGTCGACCCCTAAACCCTAAACCCTAAACCCTAAGCCTTAAACCCTAAACCCTAAACCCACAGAAAGGTTCCAAACGGGCGAATCCACGTGGAACTACGACGCCGCTCAGGTTCTCCGCGCCGAGGCAGTCCTTGAGTTGTTTTGGTGGGTTTAGGGTTTATAGGGTTTAGAGGGTTTATAGGGTTTATAGGGTTTATAGGGTTTATAGGGTTTATAGGGTTTAGGGTTAGGGGTTTAGGGTTTAGGGTTAGGGGTTTAAGGTTTAGGGTTTGGGGTTTAGGGTTCAAGGTTTAGGGTTCTCGGGCACAAGGCTATGGATGTTTAGGGTTTCATTTGACATGTAACGTATTTCAGCGTTTAGCTGGAGATGCTTCACCTTAAACCCCAAAGCGCCCTAAACCCCTAAACCCTAAACCCCTAAACCCCTAAACACCTAAACCCCTAAACCCCTAAACCGCTGGCCTAAACCCCAAACGTTTAGGGCTTTTTTGGGGGGTTTAGAATTTGGGGGTTTTGGGGGGGGAGGGGTTGGAACCCTATAAGCCGCTGTCAAATCTGCTGGACATGAAAAAAGTTCTTGTGAACCCCATGTATCCGTTGAAGGGCTTCATGTCTGCAGATCACAGTCGGCCCAGACATTCAAAGCATCAAACTTATTGTAGAATTTTGGGCAGGGTTTAGGGTTTAGGGTTTAGGGTTTAGGGTTTAGGGTTTAGGGTTTAGGGTTTAGGGTTTAGGGTTTAGGGTTTAGGGTTTAAGGTTTAGGAGGGGTGATGAGAGTCCCCTGTACAGGGGTGCCTGTGTCCTGCACTGCCTGATGGGAGGCGGGGGATGGGGGGAGCAACCGATGGCGGGAACAACCGCATGCCCCTCACCACGGCCCATTTGCCGTAGTAGAGGGCTTGGGCGGTTTGGGGTTGATTGGTATTCGGGTTAAAGCCCAGGACTTAGGAGAAATTCATGGGGTGTATTGGGTGTGCACGGCGTGTTCCATGGATCAGGGGTTCAGGGGTCGGGGTTTCTGTTTAGGGTGTACGGTCTAGCGTTTAGAGTTTAGGGTTAAGCTGGCTTGGCCTCACTGTTTGTTCCAGCTGCACTGTCTCAGGACAACCCTTTCCACCAGTACGTGGACGGTCTTTGCCTCAGTGTAGTAGATTTTATGAGAGCCGAACGCTACCGGAGCCTAAATAGGGTTTAGTGCTAGAATAGAAGCTGCCCCACGAATGCCAATTCCCAAGAATAGTACACGAATAGTACACCCTGAACGTGCACACCATGGCTACCACCAAGCAGGACCCATTGACCAACCTTCATCCTGACCTTAGGACATCTCGGCTTAGGGTTTAGGGTTTAGGGTGTAGGGTTCAGGGTTTTTGGGGCTTTGGGTTTAGGGTCCAGGACGAGATGCCATTCGCGTCAGCCTGCCAACGCTCTTCAGCATGGGGGGGGGGGGTTACGTTGGGGCCCGTGGATGGGTATCATACTATAGGGGAAGGGGCTAGACGTCCAAGATCATTCTAACCCTAAACCCTAAACCCTAAACCCTAAACCCTAAACCCTAAACCCTAAACCCTACACCCAAACTCTAAGCTCTAAGCCCGACATAAACCCCATCCCTACACCGCCTATATACGCCCTATGAGCTCTTAACCCTCCCAAAAAGGTTCAGTCGTAGTACTACTATGGATTTAGGTGCCCCAAAAAACACAATACAAAAGGCTTTTGGGTACTGTACCAAATTTCTTAAGAGTACTGCGAAAGGGACTCTTAAACCCTCAACCCTAAACTCTAAACCCTGAACCCTAAACCCTAAACCCTAAACCCTAAACCCTAAACCCTAAACCCTAAACCCATTGGGTCTTAAGTCCGAATTCAGCCCTCAGCCTAAGCCGCGAATCCGTGAACCCTAGCATAGACAAAAGCCCTGAGCTGAAACGCAACACTTCAGGGCCTTTAGGGTTTGGGGTTTAGGGT